CAGAGCTGCTCCTTTCCCCCTGCAGAGGGACTGGCTGGCTCCTGGCTGGGACCCCAGGAAAATAACCCAGGATAAATGGAGATCCATGTGGTATTAACCACTACTGCCCCACAAACTGCTCCCCAGCAGCTCCGTTTGCCAAATAATTTCTGGTCTGGTGTGACAGAGGAGGGCACGCACACGGTCTGACTGCAGGACGGTGGCACTGGGGTTTTCCATCGTGCACAGGGCAGGGAAAACGCTGTTCCTCCAACACCACTTACACTAAACTCACCACAACAGCCTCCAGCAAACACCAAAACACAGCATCCAGCATCACTGCAGAAAATGTACTAAGCCCTAGACTGATCTCTGCTTGGTACACCCACAACAGCACCCGAAGACTGCAGAGAAAGAGGAGCTCAGGCTGCCCGGAGCACCCTGCCACTGCACTGCTGGCACCCCCGTGATCCTGTGCCCCTAAATAACCCCCTGCAGCTGGCACAGACACAGCCTGCAAAATAATGAGGCACAGAGGAGTGGCAGGGCAGGAGCCCTGTGTCCCCAGGACAGCCGAGCACCAAGGTGCTCGCTCTGGCTGCCCAGAGCAAAGCCCACGTGGGGATGCCTGCCCAGGAGAGGAAGGAGCAGAAAGCAGAGCTTTAAAAGGAGCGATCGAGGTGTCTGCTCTTGCTGCTGAATGCAATTAACCTCAGAGTTCAGAAAGACTGAACTCAGCCAGACTTTGAAGTTATCACCTCCTTAAGAGGACATGGGAAGGGAGTGGTCTTTATTTTCCTGTTGGTACTATTGTTTTACTGGGGTCTGTCTTTCACGCAGCCGGTGAGAAAGGGAGAGCCGAGGAGCCTTGCTGAGGCTGGACAAGGTTACTTTTGTACAAGAAAGTCCAGGCTGACAAAAGGAGACAAATTTAAATGTTAGAAACATTTGCAAACTTAAGAGGATTTGCCCAGGACTTCCCTTCTACACCACGCTAGGCTTGTGGCACCCCATTTCTGATGAGAAAATTAAATTCAGGCAGCGGGCAGACAAGAAATGAGTACAGAAAGCTTGCACTAAAGCTGGAATAGACCGAGCAGAGGGTGGAGGAATAAGGCCCAGATAAAAATCTATCGAAAAATGAATTGCTTTTAAGTGACCGGGCTTACTATTACTTTGTGTGGGTCAAAACACAAGTTTGCCAAAGCCACCCAAACACTAACCCCTCTGCAGATGAGACATTACCCATGTACACACATGGAAGCACCCCCACAAAATGGGTGATTGCCTTCTTCACCCTTGGGGCAGGGGGATTCAGGGACAGGCAATGTGGAGGAGAACAGAAAAGGTCCCTGTGTTTGCCAGAGGGGGAGAAAACACTGTGCCAAAAGGGAATCTCAGCTCCTCCTAGCATCCAGCCAGGCCTAGGAGAGACCTCTGAGCTTTTGGGGCCGAGACCAGAGGTAAAGCAGAGAGCAAGCTGTCCTACAGCCTTTGCTCTGCTCACTCCCAGCTCTGCGCACCCGTATCGTGCTTCAGTCATTTCAGGTTTTAATAAAAAAGAGCCAGACTACAAAGGACTCCATGAAAGCAATAAAATCATCTGAAAGATTTGGCCTACAAAGAGAACAGGAAAATTCAATCTGCAGCTTGCAGAAGAGATGATACGCAGAGATTTGTCTTGCTGTTGCCATAATACTTAAGAAGGATAGAGAAAAGTGTAGGGGGAGTGCTGAAAAATACAAATTAAAAAAAATAAAATTAAAAAAAAAATAACACCGTGAGGAGCCAGAGATGCACAGGAATCATTTTCCTTTCCTTAAAGCCACGATTTCATGGCCAGATCTGCCCAGGGGAGAAGCTGCAACACTTTGGTGGAAGAGGTGCGAGCACAGACCACGAAGTCCTCTCGGTAACAGGAAAGCTGGAACAGGGCAGGTGAACCTACACACCGAACGCCTTCCAGTGCCAAGAAGGACAGGAAGACCTGCTTGTTCCATAGGAATTAAAATGCAAAACATGCTAACAGCTAGCCATTACCCCTAGCGACATCACTTACGCTTGTCCATTGGAATAGAGGAACGAGCTGCTAGCAGAAGCTAAATAACTTTTACAGGAATTTTCCCAAACCGTTATTGCCATTAGACATATGCAAGCAGAGAGCCCATTTCTAAAACAATCAGAACTGCTGTAAGAAATACACCGCGTTATAATATTGCATTGCACTTCAAAGGAAAATAAAAAGGAAAAAGAAGAACAGAGAATGCCCTCAGGCAGCGCGTTAAGCCATTACCTTTAGTGTGATATTTAACAGCAGCACTCAGGTCAAAAGAACCCCAGCTATCTTTCCTTTCTAGGCCTCTCTGGTACCCCTGTTCTTTGGCGGAGGCTAACAAATTGTTCGTGGGAGAGGCCAGAGGATTCTCTACTTCATAGTCTTTTGAAAGAAACACTAAAGCACCTTGGCTACCGGTGTCTGCCTTTTGCAGCTCACCGGCGTGATGCGACTCCAAAGCTACGACACCACCCTCGACAGCAGTCCCAGGCTTAAGAATAGCGCTAAGAATTGGAGGGCTAGTCCGTTTATCCAGCTCGTAAGCCTTAGGAAACACAGGTTGTTCAGTTCCTGAGGGAATGATTTCAGCACACTGTGAAACCAAAGTGGCAGGATATTCCCCTTGAAATGTCACTTCCATTAACTGATTATCCGCAGGTTTCCCCACAACAGTTTCGGGGCCAGCGCTGGGCTCGTTTATGAACGACAAGCCCCACTGGTTCTGGAAGATATCTCCCAGGTTCTGCTGATTTGTCTGCGATGGGAAGTCGACTTGCGCTGTACCCAGAAGCACAGTTTGCATATTTGAAGGGTAGATAAAAAGGCTAGATTTCTTTTGTTCGAGAGCTGTCGAAGCTGTACTTATGTCCTGGGGTACTGACTCAGAAGAGGTTGATGTTACAGTACTAGCAGCAGTTGTGAGCAGTGGCTGGGTCCCTGGAGAATATACATTTCCATCAGTCCCTGCTAAAATTGGCCCGTTGGAAAAGCTAGCAGAAGTAACAGATTTCATAGCAGACATGGGGACTTGGGACAGTCGACTTGATGTTTGGGCCTGAGTTTCCCCGGCAGATGACGAAGACGACGACGATGACGTGGATGGGGTTTGAGCTGCTTTGTTGAGGTTTTCTTTAACTTTACTTGCATAACTTATTTTGGGAACAATTTTAGCACTGCTATTGTCCACTGGAAAAACTGGGGGTGGCTTAAATAAGGTCCATGAGTCCTCTTTAGACGTAGCTGACGAAGCATGCTTCCCTTTGGGCCGGTCATCAAACTTCTTGCTGCTAATCCCAGGTTTGGCATCAGAGTTTTTTCGCTGTACATCCCCAAGCCCAGGCTTTCCTCGGCCCGCTCCACCAGCCCCAGCCTCGTATTTCCAAACGGGCTTAGTATTTTCGATTCGGTTCCCCTTTTGTTCACTATAATCAGGCTTGAAACTCTCAAGTTCCTGTTTTAAGGTCGGCGTGCTGACCTCCTGTTGCATTATTTTGTCCTGTACTAGATTCAAGTTCTCACAACCCTTGGCACTGTTGCGCCTGCCTTTCCGTTTCTTAGGCGTAGTATATCCACTCTCAGAGCCGCTACCATCGTTATCGGCCCCCTTGCCTACGTAGCCATTGGTGATGTAGCTGGAGTTATTGGTCACCACGCCGTTTGGGACAGACACTCCCTCTGGCTTGTCTGAGGACTGACTTTCTCTAAGCTTGTTTTCGTAGGACTTCTCATTCTTTTTGTCCATGCTATTTTTCTGAACGAAGTTCTTGGTTTTGATTCCGGCTTTCCCCAAAGCACCGGCCTTAACGGTCTGCTTTGGGGTCACATTAGTGTCTACGAGTTGCTGGCTGCCATTGGGTACCCTGGATCCTGGGTTGGTGGTTTCATCAGAGCACAGGCCCTTCAGCGACACTTCTCGTTCCCCTGCGTTACCATTTAGCTCTCCATAGCCTAGAAGAAAGCCAAAGACAACAAAAAGCAAGAATTAGAACGGGAATCGTTACACTTCTGATTGCAAAAAGCTGTAATCAGCCCCGAACATATACAGTTTTGCCGAGCAGATGTTTTAAAATAGGAAAACTTTGTCTGCTCTCCGATACATGAAAATACATCCTTATTTGCTGGAAGCCAAGGAAAGGTTCAGCAGAAGGCACCAGCAGCTACCGGCTCTCACCCAACAGCAGCGCGGTGTTTAACACAGGTAACAAAATAAAGCAAAGAGGCACTTGAATGCTACACAAGGAAAATACGCTGTACTGAAACCCCCTTGCAACCTGGCGAGCTATTTCATCAGCTGCCATTTCCAGGTCACGCAGAGGAAATTCCCAGGATGCTTCAAGAGAGAGGGCCCTGCTGCCTTCGCTCCAAAATTCCTTGAAATTCGGCATCTACCCTGTGAGCCAGCTCCACGGCCTCTGTCCTCTCACAGGCCTGTGGCACCAGCACCCCTCCCTCCCGCCTTCCTCCAAGCGCCACCTCTAGAAGAGGCCACAAGCCGCCTTCCGAAGGCCACGTGCGAGTCCGGCTGGGAGCTGGAGGGAAGACAAGGTGGCAGCATTTCCTCTGTCATTTCCAACCGGCACCTCCCTACACGTGCTCGGAGCAGGCGAGGGAAGCACCGCGTCCCCCGAGCACCGCCACCGGCCTCCTGCCCACCGAGAACATCCCAGGGAAGCGCCCGTGAGGGCCCCAGCCCACCAAAGCAGGGCACTGTGCTGTTATCTCATCTCCCCTTTTTGCTTCTGGACTTCAATTCCGGGCCTGAAGGCTCTCAAGGTCTTGAGGTCATGATTTAAGCGGAGCAGAAAGCCCAGACCGAACCACCTCGCCTTCCTCGAGCCGACGCAGAGCACCACGCGTCCCCCAGGCCCGAGAGCGGGCAGGGCTCCAGCTTGGAAAAGAATGTTTTTGTTGTCACCGCTGCTGCTGAATTATGCAGCTATACTAAAAAAATCATTGTTATCCTCACATCCTGGAGCCTCAGATGCGCGGCAGATGTAACTGCTCAAGCTCTGCGCGACTGGGGAACACGGGAATCCTTGTAGGGAATCTTTACAGAAATTCCACAGCCCCCTTTGCCGAGAGGGATCAAAAAGGGTTTTACTACACTCGAGTATCTCCAACCACCACAACTTCCACTGCAACTTCCAAAGGCGCTGCTCGGAACAGGGCCCATAAATACTTCATCCCAGAGAAAACGAGCAGGGCGGGACTCTCAGCTGAGTCGAGGGCTAAAAATTAAATATTCCCCAGCAGCGAGCGGGGGAAGCCCGCTCAGGAGTAACGTGGTGCAGCTGACCTTGCGCGACTCGGGGCTCCTGACACCACCAGCTAACGAAACAAAACAATACGCGCGGTCACGAGACCACTGCGGACGAGGAGCAAAAAAGAACAAAATGAAGAAAAAAAATCCATTTCACCAAGTCAGCGTGTCAGCAGTTTCGAGTCCCAGTTTTCAAGGCTTCCCAACTCAGGCTGAGTTTTGCCCCAAATCAAGGTTTGGGGCGGCTGGCTCCGGCCTGGAGCCAAGGGGGGCAGTGACCCAAATTTTGGGGGGTGAGGAGGACGTGGGAAGGAGGTGAGGAGCCAAGAGGAAGGGGGTGTCGGGGGGCAGTGTGTGGGGAGCCCCCCTGCTACCTGTGGGGCTCCTGGGCAGGAGGGAGCTGCCCCAGGGCCCCCAAGCTCCCTGCTGATGGAAGTGAAGATTTCAAGGAGTATGTGTATGGAGGGGGGGACGTAAAAAAACACAAAAAAAACACTAAAAAAAAATAATCAAACCAAAACAACCCCCCCCCCCACGCACATGGCACCGCGACTCCTCATCCCACCCCGCGCTGCCTCGCGACCCGCCGCACCCCCGGCCGCTTTTATTTTTATTTTTATTTATTTATGAGCAGAACGGGCGGTGTGTCTGTGTGTGTTGGGGGGGGTGAGGTCGTGCTTTAGCGGGAGGAGGCCTCTCCATGAGGGGGCTGAGGGGTTCCCCCAACATCGGGCTCCTCACGGGGCTGCGGCTGGAGGCTGAGGAGGTGAGGAGGGAAGGAGGGAGGGAAGGGGGCTGAGGAGAGAAGGAGGCTGAAGAGGGAAGGAGGCTGAGGAGAGGAGGCTGAGGAGGGAGGGAGGCCGCCGCCCTGCGCTTTCCGTGACTCATTGATTTGCACGCTCATCACTTTTCCACACGGGGCGGCCTCCCCCCCCCCTCACCCCCTTCACCCCCTTCTTCATCCCCTTCATCCCCAACCGCCTCCTCGCTCCCTTTCTTTATTTTTATTTATTTTTTTTTTCCTCTCCCTTCCCCTCCCCGCACAGCCCCGGGGCCGGCCCCACACGTGCCCGGCGCTGCCGGCGGCCCCGCGGCTCCCTCAGCCGCGCCGGCTCCAACATGGCGGACAGGAAGCGGCCCCAGCGCGGCGGAGAAGCTTCCAGCCGGGCCGGGGGAGGAGGAGGAGGAGGATGAAGAGGAGGATGAAGAGCAAAGAGGAGAACGACCAGGAGCAAGGAGGAGGATGAGGAAAGCCCCGCCGCCACCCCGCGAAGGTCACCAGCCCCGTCCACGACCTCCCCCCCCCCCCCATATTCCCCTCAGCCCCGGACCTGTTCTCCGCTTCGGCGCCTCCTGGTGCTTGTGGAGCGGCTTGGGCTGGGCTCGGCCGTCGGGCGGCGGCAGGTAGGGGCTGTGCGGGCGGTGGTGGCTGTAGTAGTAGTAATGGTGGTGGTGGTGGTGGTGGGGAGGGGGCTGCTCCTCCATGGGGAGGGGGCTGGCTCAGCTCGCTGCCGGCGCTGCCTTCTTCTTTTTTTTTTTTTTTTTTGAGAGAGGGAGCAGCCGTGCCGTGCCTTTTTATTATATATATTTTTTTCCTCTCGCTGTGTTTTCCTTCTTTTAAAAAAAATATATTTTTTTTCAGGCCGTGCAGGCTCCGGCGGCTGGGACGCGGCTTGGCGCTGGGGGGGAGGCGGCGGAGGACTGGCAGCGACCGCCCCCCGCCCCGCGCCCCGCCCCGACCGGCGGAAAGGGAAGGGAAAAACCCTGGGGGGGGAGTCAAAAAATATGGAGGGGAGAGGCCGGCCCCACGGCTCGGGGCGGTGCTGCCTCCCCCGAGCTGCTGGGTGCGGGATTTGGGAGCGGGGGTGGGGTGGGGAGCGGCCCCAAAGGGGGGCTGGGGGGAGTGGGGGGGGGCTGGAGGGAAAAGGGGGTCCCACAAACGGGTGCTCGCAGCCTTCACGAGGATGTGGTGAGGAGGAGGAGGGGTCTGGAGCTTCTGCTGGGGGGTTCCTCGGGGGTCCCAAGCCCGCTGGAGCGTCCCCGGTGTGGCAGGGCTGGGGGCTGGTTCAGCGGAGCCCCCCCGGGTGGCAGAGAGGGGTCGGGCTGCAGGGGGGGTTTAAGGGGTAAGGAGAGGGTTGGGGGACACTAAAATGTGTTGGCTGGGGTCACAGCCCTGTGTGTGGGGGGCTCAGGGTGATGAAATAGCTGCAGGTGGTGGTGGTGTGCCCTACAGCAACCGGGGGGGTGAGCGGTAAAAGAAAATCATGTAATTAAAGACTTATAATAGCCACAAAATGAATAAACAGGGTGCATAGCCCATCCTTAAAATAGGATTGTGTTTAAAATAGGATTGCGTAGCTTCTCAGGGCTTGTAGTTGTAGCCTTAATACCTGTGTGTTATTTTAAGAAATTAAAATAATAAAGCTTCTCTGTCCAGAAAGCCCGATCAGGCTTTATTTCTGCTCTGCAGGACATCACACAAAACACAGAGCCCTTCCCTTAGTTTTATTTCATCAGAATACGATCGAAAGCATATGCCTCCAGCACAGCTTCCCCCTCCCTGTTCTTTAACACGTACAAAGTAAAACCCTCCCTACCACAAATCCAACTTCTGCATTAACACCGAGGGCTCCTTTTCAAGGTTGGAGGTGCCTGAAAGAGGAGTTCTGTGCCCAAGAGGCCCTACAGTTTGCATTTCTTCCAGCACACTGCAAAGCAATTTAAGGCGCAGTGAAAGCGTTTAAAGGATGACTGCGAACGGGAGGCTCTGCCCCTGCTCCCCGGAGTAACGGTGCTGGCAGCCGCTGACTCAGAGCGACCTCACGGCGCTGAGGAGACAACTCTCGAACCCAGGAGTCAGGCTTTAATCACAGTTGACATTTTATTGGTGGCTTGGAAGAATTTATTTTTAATATAGGGAACTGGCTTGAAGACAGGCTTCAAAAGACTCCGGAGAAAGCAAACAATTACGGACAAATCAGCTGCACACACAGACAGCAGAAATCTAAATACAAAGGGCAGCGTGTTGCACGTACATGAAAGGTGAAGCAAGTCTTCTGTTTCTTAGAAGCGCTGTGTTGTCAGTTTTACATTAACCATCTAAAGCTGGAAAAAAAAATAAAGTAAATTAAAAAAAAAAAAAAAAACAGATTAAAAAAAAAAACCACAAGATAATGTAGCCTGGGGCCCACCAAGCCCCGTAACACACCTGGCAAAGGAAGCACGGGCACCCCGCACACCCTGCTTAGTGCCGAGATGTCTTTTCATGCACTACAAGTTCCAGCATGCAGCACTGCTCCGTGCCCTGACGTCTGCGTGCCATGCTGGGACACGTAGTCCTCAGACGCTGCGCTTTCTATTAAGGGCAGGCACAAATTTCTCATTGTCGGGCTATTTCATGCTCTCCTTTCAAGCCGACTTTGTTCCGAGTGACACCAAGCACCCTGCCCTCGCTAGCGCAGCGCTGCACCAGCTATATAACACGTGCAGCTGGGTGGGAGGTGTTCTCTGGAGCTGTGGAAAAGAAACAGGAGACTTCCACGCTTCCTCATCTGCAGCGGTTTCCCTCCTTGCTGCTGAGTTTGGCAAGTCAGCAGGGTCTCTTGCGAAGGAAAGAGGTAATTTGCCTTGGAATTCCACACCCACTGCCAAGCATTCCCACATCCAGGCACAACGCTGGGCAGAGCCAGCATAATTTCTAGCTCGAACTCAGAAGGCTATTTTATAAAGCTTTGAAGTGTATGGCTTTTCAGAGAGCCTGCCATTTAACGCTGCAAAATGAAGGCAGCAAGGAATGAATCAACTGCTACAGAGCTCATGAGAAAGTTTTCCTGGACAGACCTGAGGTGATTTTTTAATTCATATGAAGACGCAGTTAAGCTTAGAAGCTACTCCAATGATTTCCTAAGAATAAATGATTTCCTCTCACAGGCAACCCTCTTTAAGGCACTGCATTTAATTTTCATTAAATGTTTAGGGTAAGTTGAAACCTTGAAACTATGAAATTCATCCACGAAGTGTCTCCTGTTTAAAGCTCAAAACTGGGAAACATCAAAATTACTGTATGCACAGATACTGAGAAGGACTCTTATACAAAGCATGTTCAGCATTTACCTACCTTTTTTTGCCATAATGTTTTCGTTTCTAGCAAGGATCCAAACTTGCCAAGAGCCCTATATTCTAATACACCCAACCTAACAAAGTAAAAGAGAGGATAGTTCCAGTTATGTTTATAACAATACCATTTCAATCAGTACAATATGGTCACAAGTCACCAGCTGATATTTAAATGCTGGAGGAAGACTCAGATCTAGAAGTAGAGGTTATTTAGGATGGATCATGGGGGTGACAGTGCTCCTTGCAGCTTCTGCTTGACCAGGGGTACGGCTGTCCTCACCGAGCTCAGAACACTGCCATTGACAATTGCATCCAGGTAGGGGGGCCTTTCCTTGACTCCATTTTTGTACTTTACTGTGTATATTATTTATATACAGTCTCTTTAAAGACTTCACCCTCTAGAGACAGTTTGATAGCAAGCTGTGGCTTCGAGGTCTTAAAAGGCAACAACAAAAAAAACATTTAGTCCTTAGCAGAATTGTAGGAATGGACACTGCGGACACTTATCTTTCCTATCCCTAATAATTTACACATTTCTACATAATAACACATGCTGAAGTAGATTTAAAATGAAAGAAAAAAAAAAAAAAAACCACAACTTACAAATGCCATAAGCACACACTGTTAATCTTTCAAGAAAATTAAGGCAGCCCAGCACCCAAAATATCCATAGGGCATAATTTTGTGAGACAGCAAACCTCATGTAATGGTTAGCTGCTCCCAGAAGGGAAGGTCATCCCTCCCTCTGCCTGCCTGCCTCTGCCCTGCCCGTGAAGCAGCACTGGAGCTTCTCTGATCCTGGGTGAGGCCATCTGAGAAATTAAACAAACAGAATTCCTCAGATGAAGAAGTGTACATTTTTCTTCTGGTTAAACTTCCTGGCCTGTTTCACTGGGGAGCCAGACAAACATTAATGCCCTTAAGAATGGGCTGCAGCTCCAGAGACTTCCAGCTCCAGCCTTGCAGAGCCAGCCCTGCAGCAGGGATGACCCCTTCTGGGAATTGGGCAGTGGGGACACAGCTGGGGCTGCAGCCGCTTCAGCCAGCTAATTTTATTTTGCTCATATTTGTTGAGTCAATCCCCTCGAGCGCCCGAGGATGGTGTGACCACCCTTCAAAGTGTTCGGAGCAAGCTGTAACAGAAGGGCTTTAACCAGTGGGACTTCATTCTGGTGGCTACATCCATTGTTTAATAGGGCTGGATCTGAGGAATGTCCCCTGTTGTAAACACATTGAAGTGTTCACACAGGCATGAGTAACATCTGCTGCCCATATCTGCATGAAAAATTGTTTACTAGAGTGCAATCGTATAAACTGGAGGCTGCTTCCTGGACACGTATAAAGGGAGCACGAGAGGCAGGCTAGTGGTCAGCCTCAGCCAGGCCTCTTACTGTTACTTGTCCTGGATTTCCAAGAATCCTGGTTCTGGGGTTTCAGACAGTTCTGATCTCCTCCTACACCCTAGGATCATCACAGGGACCACAGAAATCAGCACAAGCTTCCCAAGGTGCTCCTGCAAAAGCCGTCCTGCGGTCAGCAGGTTGCTCTTCTGGGACCTGAGAGCACAGGAGGCCCTGCCTGACTTCGGCTGGGGATTGTGTCAGTCACTGCTCGCGGTAGACTTTGACCCCTGGAAGACAAACGGAAAAAGCTCAATCCACAAATTCCAAGCGCTTTTTATCTTGTTATACAACACAACAGTCACAAGGGTGCTAGTCATTCATATTTCATTCTCACTGCATTTGGATACCGAGCACTTATTTCAAAACAGGGACATTTTTATTTTTTTTTAATACTCATGGGGTACATAAGCATCTGGCACCCAGAGACCTAAATACCTGTGTTTGGACTCAAGGTCTCCAACCTAAAAATGCCTGGCACTGGCAGAACACTGAATCTGGACGGGTTATTATTTGAGTTATTATTACAATTGCTGTTTCATTGTGTGATACAGGGCAACAATGGTTGACTACAAGATTAGGGACTGAGAAGAGCCCTTGTCAGAAGGAAAATTAAAAAGCCCAGGACCATTCACCTCTGAGGAAGTGAATCAAAAAGCCCACAGTGAAGGTATTACAGAAGACGTAGCAGAGAGATAGCAGTTTGAGAACTTTTGTTCACCTTATCTCAAATTATTGGAACACGGGAACATGAAGGGGGAAAAAACAGCAAATTAAAAGATAAGCAGCCACCTTTTAAAGCCTTGCATAAAATATAGAGAGAATTCACCGACACGCAACATTGAGGAGAGCAAGGCATTATTAGTATTCTCAAAGGATGGGCATAATTCAGCTAAAAGTAAATATTAACATCTAAAATTGAGCTTTTAGAAGGATTATTATCTATTACTCTCTCAGGCACAAGTGAGAGTCTACCCCTTATGATTTAAGAGAAGATTTCTGCCAGGCATCTAGCACCCGGAGAGCTCAAAAGAAGCGGGGGGCAGTATTTACTCATTATAAAGCCATCTACTCAGAAGACCTGATGAACTGAACACGAACAGGACAGCTGGTAGCTCTACCTAGACAGGGAGGAAAACAGGAGGCAGCAGAGAGGAGTAACGACTTGCAAGGGCACGCCATGGTCACTGCACAGCAGATGCCCATTAGTATTTTCCACAGAGAAAGTATTTTCTTGCATCCTCTACTTAATGGGTCTATGCTCCAATTTAGAGAAGACAGGTGTTTGGGTTACTGTGTGACAACACTGCACAGGACAGAGTTAAAGGCTACTCTCACCTCATCATCTTTTGCCCTATTTCCTTATCTCGGAATCTGGTCCGCAGCGCCACACTTGTTCTCCCAGCCAATTTCCTTTACTTTACTCCTTACCTACTTGTGAGGACTGAATTACAGGACGAGGCTACCGTACACAGCAAAGGGTTTGTAGAACAGTTTTTCTGGCACAGCTCCCCAGGTGGAGATGTGGTTCATATAGGCAAAAGTACTCCCTCAACTATCTCCTTAAAAGGCAAACTATACCATCAGAATAAATCATCCACTTCTTTGCTTTTTGCGTGCCATCATTGCTGCAGGGTTGAGTCTGGTACATTCCAGCCCGCATAAGTATTCTGGCAAAACTAGTAGTTCCTTGACCAGGAAGACAAGATGCACCAGGAAGCGAAGAGCTTGTATTGTTTTCTAAAGAAACGGCTTCTTTTTGGTATTTACTGAAAGAGGAGAGTGAATGAGCCACGAGTACTGACTCTGTTAACAATGGGATGGGGAACTGCATCCAGAAGTCACCTCTGGGGTGGCAAATGGCAGCAGAACAAAACAACACTCCCAACAGTTCATTTATTATACGCATTAAACAATATTATTATTTCCTAGTGAAGCTATGGTGAACCCTAAGTAATATCTAAAGACCTAACAGAACTTACACATCTGGAGTTGAACCAGAATCCTAGATGTAAGACCCCCACTCTACTGGAAAGTAGCCTAGGACTTCACACACCAAGTCCAATTAGTAATATTCTTCATTATCATCTTTAGACTGCAATAGACCTCATGTCAGCCCCAGGAAAGGATGTGAGTCAATCCTTGACTAACTGGCTCTGATTCACTAAGGAACCAACATATATAAAGTCATCCTAAAGATAAAAAAATGCTAAGGCTTGCTTCACTGATAATGTATCTAATGGCTGCTGAGGTTGGAGTAATAGAAGAGAGATGAGAGAGAACAGCACTACATTGCTATGGAAACTAGAATTTTCAAAATAAATACCTTTGCAGAACTGAGGTTGCAGATCTAAAATAATCCATACTGTTTTTGACATTTCCTCCCTTTACCATGGGATTCAGACAGGCTGACCAGCCAGGCATGGGCAGCAAGCTCACATGCACAGAGATCAGCCTGCAGTGACACAAGGTCCCCCATGGCTCACCTTCCTTATTCCAGTGCAGGTTTGGGCCCTGAAGAGAAGCATCAGCACTTGGTCTGTTACCTGTACAGTTTTTGGGGCTTTCCTTCCAGACTAGACAAGCCAGAGTAAAATGAGTCTATAACCACTTGAGGGGGGAAGTGCTATTTTTATCCCACTAAACTGGGATATAATCTTTTTTTTTCCTCCAGTCTTTTTGTTAAGTGAACTGAGACAACACAATATATTCAGCAAACCTTCTTTATGAGGTTCTGATTCCCTTACTCACTAGGAAACTCCTTACCGTAACAGATGACTCCTCTGCAATTACCATTCAGGGTCCCTACCCAGTACGTGCTTCCCGTTAGTCCCATTTCAGAAATACAACCGGTAACTTCCTTGATTGCATTTGGGCAAAAGGTTGCTCATTTTAGACACACACATACCTCCACACACCTGGTACCATCTCACCGACTGCTGCTATAAAAGCGTCCAAGCTCTCGAAATGCTGACTCACAGGGCTAAGACTATGGAAAAAAAAAATAAAAATTAGACTTGCTAACGTGGAGCCTGGCAGGTTTCCTGCCCTTCCTTATCTGCAAGCCCCTTGCCACCACAGGCTGTAACGAAGGACCTTGTTTCCTGGGAGGAGGCAAGGAGTAGGTACTTGTTTCCTAAAGATAGCCCAGATTCCTTTCGACTCTCAGCTGCTAGCTGGTAATTGCGGACAGAAGAAAACCCCCAGTGCTTACAGCGACGGGGCTACATCTGAGGAGAGATGAATGACTTCTGGGGAGGCTCTCTTGCTTAACGCAGCATTGCCCACTTCTGTGCATGCCTGGGATGTAGCCAAATTTCTTTAAAATGCCCTGCTATGTACTACAGGACATGCTCCTCACCTGTAGCCTTCGCTGGCTGGGGTTAGTTCGATTCCTGCCTTCAGCAGAGCTGACTCAGTGCAGACAGGCAAAAATCACTGTTTGCATTAGGAGACACATCACAGATGCAGGCGAGCAGCGCTGGGTGCAGATTGTGGTTTGCTGCAGGCATGCCAGCACAGGCGAGGACAGGGACCCAAGCTCACGCTGCGTGGGGACAGCGGGGAGCAGCGTGGGGAGATCCCTGCCACCTAGCTGGGAGCCGGGCTGGGTGCGTTCTGCCTGCGTTAGCACACCGCTGTGCCCAAGCTAATCAGCTCTGGGTCTGATCCAAGCTGACTGCCCACCACGTCAACAGCTTGTCTTCCCCCCAGGAAATGACCTCCTGTTTGCAAAAGGCTGAGCATTTAGGGAAACAAAAGTTTGATGCCCACACGTTTCATGTGGCAAAGGACTTCAGAAAGCAGCGAGGAGCCTTTGGGACTGGACCTGGATGGGATGGGCAGGCTGCTGAGCTGCCTCCTCCTCCCAGTACCTACGCAACTCATTTGCAAAGAAGCAGAGGCTGACGAGCCACATTTGCAAGCTGGGCAGGGCAGGCCAGGGAGCAACTCTGGCTGAAGGTAAGGAGCGGCAGGCTGCGGTGAGAGCTGTACTGCAGCGAGCGCTCGGAAATGACTGTGCTAAAGGTCTGGATAATGACCGGGAAGGTGAGGTGCTTCAGCTCCCACAGCGATGCAGAAACAAGCTGGCAACACAAGTTCTCTCTCCACTGCTCTCTCGTGTTCCTAAGCAGGTGAAAATAAATCTTCACGGCGGAGCTCAACGCCAGCTCCTGAGGAGCTCTGCCTAGGAGAGCGAGTTAGGGTGAAGACCTCTGAATCCCCCCTCAGCTCTTTTCTGTCAGCTGGAACCTGCTTTCGAGAAGTTCCTTGTCTGAGTTCATGCCCTTAGATTACACTGAAAAAAAAAAATAAAGTCCTTCGTGCGCCTTGGGGACACCTAGTGCTGGAGTAGAAGAATGTAGAGTGCAACACGCAGGCACTGCAGAGCTGGGTGTGCTGGAAGCGATGCTGGAAATGTCCCGATGAGCCCAGATATGGGGGCAGCAAGACAAAGGGCGATATATTGCAGTATCTGTTAGGCATGAGGCAAGAGATCACATGCTATGCCAAGCATCCACAACCTCAACTCCCAATTCAAACTGGTTTTGATACAAAATACCACTTACCCAACCAGTGTCCCCTAGCAGGTTCATCATACTGGGCATTACTGTGTGCCTTACCCCAGCCTCCCTAACTCAGAGGAGATTCCAAGCCAGGCAGAGGCAGCAGACCCAGCTGTGTCACTTGGCCACCGTGTGACCAAAAGCACAGCTTTTGTGCCTCTCTCCCTATCACAAATGCATTTTATAATGTAGGGAGAGCAAAGAGCTGCCATAAAAACAAGGCAGCTGAAATCAGGAGCAGCCTGTTTGGCTTGCAAATGGCACCTGCTAGGAGGTGACGGCTGCGCAGAGGCTTGGGAAGGAGCGAGAAGGTCCCCCCAGGACAGGTGAACTAAGAGGTTATGGAGCTATTAGGTCATGCCACACACGTAGCAAGTAGCTTATCATCATGAGGAAGCAGTCTTTGTTTTTAAATTAATCACTTAGAGGACTCTGGCTTCCATCTTGTGCTCCCTTTTTATGAGCTTGTTTCATTTTAAAAAGCTATAAACCTTCAAAGCCGATGCAGAGGTGGGAACACAGCTATAGAAAACTGCAACCAGACCACCACTTCTACAGATCCACAGGGCATAAATTGAGGCCACAGCCCAAAACAGCACTGAAAAAAAAAAAAAAAAAAAAAGCCAGCACAGCCTCCCACTCCCTTTGTGTGCATGCTGTACCTGTATTTGATGTATTAGCTCCACGCTGCAAAGCCTGGGAGAAGCCCATCAGAACTGTGACGTGCCAGACCAGGCTGCCAAGCAAAGCACTCACGTGTCACTGGAAAACATTTTACCCCTGGAGGCATGGGGACTTGTTTAATACCTAGATGGGTGGTGAATGCAGGGCACCGTGTAGCACACTGCAAATTACAGCCACAGCAATCCTGTAGCAGGCTTTTCTGTTGTTTCTGGCTAGCTAGCGGACGAGAGGGGCTCTGTAAGTATCCCTCACCAGGCCCGCAGTAAACACACTGTACAGGCAAAACAGTACTGCTGTAATACAACGACAAAAAAAAAAATCAGGAAAAAAATACAGGAGGGGCTTTTTTTTTTTTGCTACTTTGGCTCACTTCAGACACCAAGAACAAACTTACCCAACACCCATTATCTGAAACGTTGCTGCTGTGATGGTTCAGATGGCTCCAGCATCTCCGTAGCAAATACCTGCTTTCAAGAGCTGTTAGAGTAGAGCATAAACATATCCTCTGGCATAAAATATGGATTGCTTGCTCCAATTTCACAGACCTGTGTGAAATTTCAAGTAGATTAATGAGGAACAGTCCTGAACTAGTTAGATGGGCTTAAAAAAAAAGTTGGGACTTCTTTCTCCAGGCCTTCTGCTTGACGTTAATTAACTGGTTAGCATTCAGGATCACAGTTACATTTGTGGAAGCTTCTGTACCCTGCTGGTGCCAAGGTGAACTGGCTAGACACAAGTCACGAGTTGTATTGAATTGATTTTACCCGTAACCTGTTCTAAGTACAGCCTGCAATCAACACGGCCTGTAGCTTCAAAACGCACTAGAAGCACACACCTCGGGACGCAGAGCTGCCTTTTTTATTGGCAGCTTACTTTCTGTCTCTCACTAATCTGAGAGCCGTAACTATTGTGCTTTTGCCCTGTTTATAAAGCTTACTCGAAGCAAATCCGAGGACCTGTCCTCCATCTCACATAGCTGCTGCTGCAGTGACAGCTCAGTGCGAAGACAGCCCTGTATGAAGGCGAGATCAGATCATAAATGCAGAACAGCTGCTTAAGCAGAACGTAAGAAAAAGCAGCAAGGATGTTGCTGGGCAGAGAAAAGCATTGCAAGAGCTTACAGATAGCCTCCTTTCTCCAGAGGCACATGCGCACTGCTACCGTTCAGTCGCATTTCTCTCCAGCTTCCCGGTAGCAGCAGCAGCAGGCGCGGTCCGTCACATCTGACTGGCTGCAGGACTCTGTCCTCCTCTGGCAGGAATGACCCGGCCTCGATTTTTCACAGTTCTGTCACCTCCTTCCTCCCTTTTCGGCACGGTAAAAATCACCAGGCATGAAACCTGCAGCACAAAGGAGATTCGAGCCCAGCCTGCTGCAGCACGCTTCCCTCCGCAGCGCAGGCTGAAGGCACGGCGAGCCTCCCGTAACCTACATCAGGTTCCTGTAACAGGTCAGATCAGGCACCTCAATGCCAAACCTGAGACATCAGGGAAATAAAACCCAAGGGAGAAGTTACGCATTAGCACGCTATCTTAGCCAGTGCCACAGGGTGTGCCCATGCCTTTGATCCTCTTGTCCTTCTCTTGGTGCACCCCTGAGCCCTCTCCCACTGCTCAGCACCTCTCCTTCCTCAGGGCTGCTTAGCTAATTAACTGCTGCTCTTCCCCTTGCTTTACCCAGCTCTACCTGCACGGAACGGCAGCCAGAGCTACTCCTGTGTCATCACTACCTTTAAGAAAGGAGCTGACCCGCAAGCTATTTTTAGTGGCATTGTAAAGTTGTGGAGCTATTTCGGTCACATCCCTGTGCTGTAAGCTGCAGGACGCCGACAGGCTCTGAGCCTGCCTAGGGCAACGGGGCTCTGAGTGCGAACCAGAGCGGCGCGTCACTCCGCACTACGGCCTCTCTGCCCTTCCCGTGCTGTAAAACTACACCAAGGTTTTATTTCTAATCATTTTAGAAACGAGCAACACATCTTCCTGGGTACCAGAGGCTCTGCAGGGTCTTCACGTCGTTGTCCTCCAGCCTGTAGGTCTGCAGAAGGTGCTCTTCATTCTGCGGGCTCCCTCGCTCCCATTTGCCTTACTCACCAGGAGGCGAACGGTGCAATTAGGAGCCCGCAAAGGCACCCGAGGAGATTTTATCCATCTTTTGCATCAGACCTCTGCGAGAGATCAATAAACATTAGGCTGGTGTCTGCTGAGAAGTTGGGTGCGTGTAATTCTGTGGGGGCAGAAGGGAGGCCAGGGAGGAACCACTCACGCAGCAACACGCTGTTCTGACCGCAGACGGTGCCGAGGAGCTCGGGGTACATCCAGGACACCAGGCAGGAGGTGCCTGGTCCAGACAGTTGTTTTTTCTCCAGTGCCTAAGGCTTGCTTGCCAAGTTTGCTGGGGCTACGTGGCAGGTGCAAAGCACAGGCAAGAACAGAGGCCAAAGCAACTGGATTTAACAGAATTAAATCCCTAGATACAAAAGGAAGCTTGAAGGATGGGAAGTGTGAGATAAATGAAGGGAGATAAAAGAGAATACTGAACTGCTGCGTTCAGACAGGGATGGGTGAGTCAGACATACAAAGGAGGAGCAAGTGAGTAACCATATACACAAGTTATTAAACATCTGACAGCCATCCCTCCCCAGAAAACCCCTCTTAGGACTGCTGCTGTCTTCAGCTGTGGTGTGTGTCTTCCCAGGACACTCCAGATAGATGCAGGACTGTTAATATCACTGTCCCGCTTGGTGCAAGCCCGTCATGTAGTGAAGAGGAACCAGAATGCCCTCAACTCAGACTTCAAGGTCCATCTTGCATTCCCCCTCCCTGTCTTCTAGATTCTCCTCAAGAGTTCTGTTCTCACACCACAACCCACAGCCTGCTCCTATCAGCTGACCATTAACTAATAAAATTTTACAGCATGTAAATTAAAACTAGTTTAGTAAGAAATTGACTTTTTGGTCAATATGTGGCAAAGGCGCAGACAGAATAATAAAGTTTAATATATTGTTATTTTTTTCAGGACACAACGGAGCTGCAGCTCAGTTCAGACACAGATGTGTCCAGCAACAATATGTCAAGGCCTGTTGGATCAGAAGGCTCAGTGAAGTGTTCTGTGTTTCAGCTTCCCCCAGAGCTATGCACAAGACTAGCAGTAAGCATTACCTAGTGAAAACACTGGTGTGAGATGGAATAACACAGTTACATGTTGCATTCTTTCCCTGCTGAGCTTCAGCAGCCTTGCTTTGGGACGCTGCACAGGCAGGATAACAAACACAGCGTGACACAGAACCAATAACCTGCACGGTGTGCCCGTGTTACTGCTAGCAGAGCTGTGCCAGGGTAGGGAGTTACCAGTTTGCCTTTCATCACCTGTCTACGTCCTTAATACTTCATTCATTCGCACGCAATTTATCTTCCTTTTAGAGCATTACCAGAATCATCACCTGTCTCCAGCAATTATTTAATGAAGACATCAGATTGCCATCTTCGCAACGCAGGTATTTGGCTGGTAAATATAATGCAAACGCAGTTAGAATATTGCTACACCTGTTCCATTTTCTGGCATGGAAACACCAGATGTACAGTAACAAATCACAGGCGGCTCACCCCACAGACGTAGTCAGAGGTTGTCCACCAATTGTGCGACTCAGGCAGGAGCACACAATGCGCTCTAGCTGACAACTGCAATTGTTCAAGCCTCCTCTAGGGAGTGCAGTCGTAAAGGAAGAAATGAAACTGCAGCACGGATGCCAGCTGGTAATCTGTGACTCAGGATATTCAGGCAGCCACAAATGGTGCCTGCCCATTTCCAACGGCACACAGGGAGCAGCAACGAGGTTTGAGCTTGAGGGAAGAACAGGAGGCTGCTGGAACCCTGGGTACGCTTTAATATGTGAAAGAAACGTCTTCCAAGAACAAAGAAAAAGTAATCAATAAGTGAATCAAGCAATAGAACAACAAATACTGAACCAATCAGTTAAACCAACACGCCCGTGGGTGCATACAGCATGGACAACATTGCTATGGGCTCTCCATCTCCTGCCCACAAGTAAATCATGCTGCGTGTCCATCGGATCATCCAGGGAAGGAACACTCAGCCTCAAAACATCATTCAGCCTTTGGCCTCTGTGCAAAGAACAGCAAATAGATTCATTTCTAGGACTAGCTGTATTTTGTAGTGCACACACATCTTGGCACTAGGAAGTGGGCAGAGACATCAACTTATTTCACTCTAGAATCACAAAGCAGCTGGGCAGGCAGCTGTAGTACCTGGCTGATCCTGGTGGTAAGGAATCACGGGTCCAAAGGCATAAGGTTGCTGATTTCTTCCCTACAAATCCCATGCATGCATCAACTCCAAATCCTTCTACGCCTTCCTTAAAGAAGTACCATAACGTGAAACAAATCCTCCCAGAACACAATCTTTGCCAAGAGAATCCATGTTCCCAGTCTCAAGAAAGAAATTTAAGGAATGCAGAAATAATACCACCATCCACCTGAGGCAAAGGATAAGAGAACAAACACGCTGGTAACAGCCTGGATGGAAAGAGCTGATCTGCAGAACTACATGCAGACAAGTGCCAGGGTCTTTCCCACAGCACAGCAAAGGACACGGTGTTTTCTGAAGTTATTTACCAGTTTGTGACAAAGCAGCTCCGTGGCACTCCTGAAGTGGAAGATCCCTTAGCGTTGCCAGGACAGCACAGCTTTAAAGCAGAGCATCTTTCTGACCTGCCAAAGCACGGACATGCTTTACTTTCCTAAGTAAATGCTACATAAGAAGCTGGCATCACAATAACTAGGGGATTACATGGTGACCCACTGAAGTAGAGGTCTGGGTTCCTCACCAGATCCTCTGGGGAGCAGCAACATTGAGGATGGTAGAACTGGGAGGCCAGGAAGCAACAACTCTTGCTGCATATGGATAAAGCACCTGGCTGGCACAGAGAACTTTGCCACAAACAGAAACCATCCACAGCAAACCAGGAACTTACGTGCATGAAGGACAACAACCGGACCAGGGACTTTGCTTTCAGCCAGACGCTCAGGTGGCAGCAGAGCTGTGGGACAGCATCAGCCTTGTGCTTTTAGAGACCGAAAGTCCCCTTTGCAGCAGGCAAGAGGACGATAGCTTCTGCTGTGTCTGTTACTAGATGTGGGTTCTGCAATCCAAATGCCAGCAGCTGGCTCCGTGTAGACTGAGGAGCATTGCTAGTATCTGCTAGTGTGTAACAGCCCCTGGGAAGGAGGCACAGCCACTGAGCACAAGCTCCGTGTTTACTCAGCAAGCACCAGCTGAAGAGAACCATCTGACTTCTAAACTTCTACTGCCTCCCACTTTTTGTCTCATCGCTGCACTACCTATCTAAGCTACAAGTATAGGGTGCCACAAGCTAATTCACTCACATTCTCCCTTTATTATACACCCTCTTGCTATTTTCTCACCTGTCTCCTCAACCAGCCTGCTGGAAACCCTAAGTACTGACACAGAAAAAAATAAGGAGTTAAGTAGAAGCCACAGCAAACAAAAAGGAACCATCAGCTCACCCTTGCAAATAAAGGAGCATCTCCTCCCTGTCCCAGCTACCCTTACATTTCCCCATCAGCACTAATTTCTGTCTTGAACAGTTACAGGTGCTTTTTAATAGAGGCACAGGAAAGGCAGCCTTCACATTTAAAGATCCTCAGGAATATGCAAGGTTTTTAATGGTAATTTCTGGTGAGGGCAGATCTGATTTCTAAGGAGAATGTTCGTGATGTATGCATTTCCACAGTCTCTCCACCTCTTTAGGATTCCCACACTGGATTACAACCTACCTTCACATATAAGATGTTGAAGCTTTCAATGAGGTCACACCAGACACTGACAAGCACTGATGGGTGAGTCATGCTGCAGTAGCCAGAGATACTAGCAACAGATTTGTTAATCTGTATGCAGTCTAACCCTTTTTCTGGTCTAGAATCTTATTTCAGACTGAAACACGGTATCTCGGAGATGAGTGAATGCAGAATTGGGGAGGTACAGGGCCGTATTTTTGCAACTGTTTTACAGATGATGAGGAGAGGAGAATCAGTTCCTGGGAGTACCTTTACAGCAACACCTAATTTGTTGTTTTACTTGTAAAATGGAAGATCAAGGTCCAGATCAGGTCAATGGGGGAGCCATTCAGTGCATTTCACTGGAAAAACAGGCATGCTAATTAGGAATGTAAGGGTTCTCCTGGGAAAGCTCCACACACATTTGCTCCAGCAGTTTAAATCACCTCCAGCAAGCTGCTCTTCTGGAGGATACTGCCCTGTACCAGGGTCAGGGGGTGTAAATGCCTGCCTGTACAGCAGCCACTCCAGCACAAAGCCCAGCGTAGGATTTGCCCTAACATAAAGGGCAAACTAAATCTAGAAGACATTGTAGAGAGGGAGAAGAAAGAAATAATGCGGTGCTATGGTCTCCTTGCTATGATGCTAACTTAAAACTTCCCACCTAAAGGAAAGAATTGTTAAACACTTCTCTTCAGAGGACAGCGTGAGCAGCAGCCGCCAGTGGGACAACTAACACAAGATGTATTTTACAGGGAAAGACAACCACCTGTAGATTGCGTAACTATAATGAGTTTCTTCCTAGTTTCACATTATTAGTCACCTTTCACCCTTCTCTGCCAAAGGCCTCTTCATACCCATCCAAACCAGAAACAGGACAGAATCTCCTCCTGTGCTGCTGCTTTCAATCACTCTTCAAGGTCAAGGACTCCATAGTAGTGAGGCTTACAGCCCATCCCAGCCACCTTGAAATAATCCCAGAGTAACACCCCTTCCAGCCTTGCTGTTGGGAAAAGGACCTGAACAGACTCTCCTTATACTTTTTTTTTTTTTAAAAAAAAAAAAAAAAAAAAAAAAAAAAAAAAAACAGCCATTAAAAAGTCTTTAGGACCAAAACATTTTGATTTTGCTTTTAAAAGTGAGACAGGAATATTATTATCTTCAACTGCGTTTAAGACATGCCCCAAAACCCTACTTATCTTTAAGCATCTGATCAGATTTATTCAAGTCCAACGCATCTCGTGGGCTCTGTCAATCACAGTAAAGCTGTACTGGTATTCTGGAAGTACTTCCTAGCATGAGTGTTTCAAAACAGGGCAATTATAGGCACCCACCAACACAGCACACAGGTACATGATACAGAGAAGCACAAGCATATCAGTGCTTCTCAGAAGATAAAAGGCCTCACCCTGTACCTGGTAAAGAGATGTGGACACAGCCAACAATGCTGGGTCATCAGCTGGCTACAGAAATTGAATGTGTGCCTTTAACTCAAAGCAATTCTCACTTTTTCCTGTGGGGGCACTGTGTGGAACAGGCCAAAGTGACTAAACTTGATGTTATTTGGGCAAATCAAATCCTCCTGATATACAATTAACTTTCAGAAAAACCGTCGTGCAGTTTTAGCCCAGAGAAAGAGTCCTGAACACATTTTATAAGTCCTGAAACTAAATCATTGCAGAGGTCCATCCAGAACCCTTCCCCAACAGAAGATAAGCCTACCTGGAGTTTCTTGGTAACCTGACACAGGTGCAAATGACATACAGGCAATTATTTGTAGTTGCCCAGCTTGCCAATTGCTGAGGAAGGAAGAGCTGCTGAGTCACACTGCAAGCAAGCCACTTTTCCACTTTTGCCTGGCTGCCCAGAGGGTAGAGTGGGACAGTCAGCAGGCTGAGATTCTGTTTATGCCTGACATTGATTTCCCCTGTGACAGTAGTAAGTACTTGTGCCTCTGTTTCCCCACTTCTTAATGGACACCTCAACTCCCTTGACTCACGGGACAGGGATAAGTGCACAGCAAAGAACAATTCTGTTTGTCTAACAGAAAGCAGGAGAAGAGTGAAGCAGTATTGGTTTTGTGTAATACAAATGGGGTTATGTAATAGTGTCAGTATTGCCTCATTTTTGTCATTATGGCCTAACAAACTGTCAGAAGGATACTGCCTGACGTGGTATCTTCATCCCAGTGAATGTACTGAGCTATTTAACCCGGTGATACAAAACCGGATCGTAACAATCTGTAAGACTACCTCGCTTCTTTTTGACCAACCTTCCTCCAGAACATGTTTTTCCTGTATAACCTCGTAACCCATAATAATGGCCTAAACTACGCTATAGGAATGATGTCATGTTTCATGAGCTAGTAAAAGCAAAACAATCCCTCACTTGTGCATTTCATAACGAGCAACACACTAAAACACACAACCACTTATCTTTACAAGCAGAGAACAAGGTGAAAGTTGGTTTCTAAATCAGTATATAACAGATTCGTAATAGCTTCTTGAAAGAATCTAAAAAAATTGGATCAATTACATTCACTTACTTGACAAGTTCCCTAGAACAGAAGCAGTGACAAATGCAGTTCATAACCACAGTTATAATTAATAACTAAATTTCATTAATTCAGGTTCCATGATTTATTCTGCAATTTATATTTGTTTGCTTAAAAAAAGGTCAGACTAAAGCAGCGTGTGGACTGAAGACTAAGGAAGGTATGCCTGTGATTACAGTGGCTGAAACTGCCCTAATCACACTCTTATCGTTCCTTATCTACTGATAGTATTTATATAGCAATGATTACTGAAGTAGGCCCCATCACTCCACTGAGTTACTACTGCACCAGCACCTTCGTGTTGTAAGAAGTTTATACTGCTAGAGGTGTTGTCATTCTGCTGAGACAGAAAGCCAAGCTTCTCATCACTTAAAGTCATTAAAAAAAATAAACTATGACACTTCTGAAGAAGTAGGGGTGTTAACCCCAATGTCCTGGCCAAATTCCCAGCTTGAGTAATTACAATGCGCCTTGAATAAATTCTTGCCACAGCTTCCGTTGGACACAGCATTGTTCTCTACTTCCTCTCCTACAGTATTATGTAGTGCTGATGCTTGCTCTTAAAGGTCCTGTCTACAGAGGAACGTCGTAAGGGTCTACCCCCAGCCCAGCTCTGCTGCAGAACATTGGGAACACCACACGGAAACCAGTTCTGCCTGTCAGCTGAACCGTTAGGCAATTTGTAATTTTTATTTATTGATGTTCTGGCACCTCCTTCAGACGGGATTAACTTTGTGTATTGCTATCTGATAGATAAACTGCTGCAAATCCCAGATGCAGACATATATGATGTTGTTTAGTTTTTCTTTAAATGAGCTAGATTTGCATTAATAGGCTAGCAAACTAAGCTAAAGCAATTTAAGCTTCCTAGAAGCCTACTACAGTCAGCAGGAAAAGCAACCAAGTCATACCTACTACAACAGGCCTAGAAAACCATGTTAAATATGTCTAGTTCGGCTAGCAACAATAAACATTGTAATTTTTATAGTGCCTGTTCTTTAACAATTTCAGTCAACTTTTTCTAAACGGGTGGTCCACAGCTGATACTGTTTACTTTTAAAGCAGTCACTGAAGACTTATCAAATGTATATCTAGCATTTTAAATAAACTACTTGACAATTAATAGTGAAGCATTACTCATGTTTTTCAGCAGCCACCATTAGACTCTACAGCTTTTTACCCAGAGATTTTATCTTTTTATGTGTGTAATACAAAGAGCTGAGGCCTAGATTCTCTGCTGGTGTTTTGCTGGGTTAGCTCTACGTACCTCACTAACTGAAGCTTTTACTCTCATAATTCACGAGCTTTAAAGGCAACTTGTCTGCAGGAAGAAGTACAAGACCAAGATTTGGAAGAACCTGATCCTTAATTCCACCTTATGACCCCATGGGCAGGCATATCACTCCCTCTTTCTGCTCCATTTAGTTCTCCCATCTGCAAAAAGTAAACGATACCCACTAACGTGATGAAACAAGTACAAAAAAAAATATTTATAGGCCATGCTGAACAGATTTGTGTTAAATACTATTGTTCCAACATTTGCAAATACAAATATTTACCTTTCCTCGTAGGCCCTTAATTTCCCCAGAAGCATGCATCCAAAACCATATTATTTTTAAAAGACAGAAACTGTAGTTTCAGAAAGTGGATGGTTTTATTTTTGTGCCATTACAAAAATGCCTTTTAACTTGTCAAACGATACGCTACAAATATCTTTGGCAGATGAATGAAACCAAGTTTCCTGTCATAGCTGCCAACTTCAAGGTTGAGATAATCAGATAAACCTTTAGTTTGCCTTTCCCAATACTTACAACAACATATGTTTGAAGTGATCCACATTTGTCTTACTTTTCCTACTGGGATTTGAAAAGGCAAAGTATTAGACCACTATGTGACACGTTTGCAAAACACTAGATGTGGTCCACAACCATTACAGTCAACCTCTGTTCTCAACATTCCTTAGGTTTCCTCTACCCCAGGTTAAATAATCCCCAGTAGTTCTGTCTGCTTGTTTGGAAGTAAATGCAAAGTTAAGATAAATAGTTTCCGGTACCATCTTCGACATCGGCTGGATACAAAGCCTTCTTATGATACAAAATACCTCTTTATTTATAGGAAAATAGGAAAGATGTTTGCTTGGTTTTAGTGGTATCAGTAATATGGGGGCTTACAGAATTGTATTGTTTTATACTGGGGACACCTCAAAACTCTTAAGTGTTTGCAGGGCACCTTATAACCTGAGAACACTTACTTTGTGTATAATCCTGAATTTAAGGAGTGAAAGCAACACCTGCAAGAACACCTCTTCCAAGCTTTGTCCCTTACGTAATTATTTCTATCGATTTATTATCCGGACATCAGTATAAATTGTTATTTTGATGATTCTTTGCCCCCATGCTCCTGAAAGGGAAAGCAACTATAAACACAAGGGCGACTGACCTCAGCGATTTCCTCTGTTCAGACAGGAGCACAATGCACTTAAACACCATGACAAGGAGACTTGGATTGTTTAGAATTCCTCCAGCTGTAATCTATGGCAAAAACAAATAAACAAATATGTGACTACAAGACACGATAATTAATCCCTGCACGAAGCCAACTGTTATCTCTAGCTCGTAGACGGAGATACCAAAGCACACAGAGGTTCAACAACCTACCAAGTTCAAAACCCACCGCTGAGAGCCAAGACTACCGCTCAGGAGGCCATGTGCTCGCCCTGTGAGATATTTTTTTCCCCTCTTCTGGCCCTAAGCCAGAGACGGTTGGGGCGGGCGGCCTGAAACACACTGCTGTGCTCAGGCCAGGGGTGCTGCAGACCCCTGCACCAGCAGGCCCTCAGGGGTACTGCTGGTGGCTGAGCTGCTCCAGCACAGCCCTGTTGGGTCTCACAGTTCTTCTTCACAGAATCACAGAATTTCTAGGTTGGACCTCAAGGATCATCGAGTCCAACCTCTGACCTAACACTAAGAGTCCTCCACTAAACCATATCACTAAGCTCTACATCTAAACATCTTTTAAAGACCTCCAGGGATGAGGTCTTCACCCCCTCACCTGCCCCCAGTCCCCACCTTCCCCATCCCTAATCCCTCTTTCTCTCCACAGCCCCTTCCTCAAACCCTTCCTCAGTTTCCCCTTGGCTCCTGCAGCCCCACGGTGCCGTTACACCCTCAGCTCCCCCAGCCTAACGCAGAACCCTCTCAGCCTCCCCCTCATCCCCCTCATTTCCCTCACACCCCTCAAGCACCCATTTCCCTCACACCCCCCAGACCCCTTTGCCCACCCTCACCTCTCCCTCAGCCCCCCTCCTCTTCATCACCTCTCCCCTTCCTCACCTCTTCCTCAGCCCCCTCCTCTCCCTCACCCCTCTTTGCTCCCTCACTTCTCCCTTAGCCCCCTCCTCTCCCTCACCTCTCCTCTTCCTCAGCCCCCCTCCCCACCAGCCCCCCCCACAGCCTCACCTCACGCCCCCCCCACCCCCCTTTACCCCAAATCACCCCCCTTTACCCCAAACCTCTCCCTCACCCCCTCACCACCCCCCCCAGCCCCTCCTCGCCCCCTTCCCTCCCTCCACTCCCACAGAAGGGGGGGGACGAAGCAGAAGGAGGAGGAGGAGGAGGAGGAGGAGGAGGAGGGCGGCGAAGTCTCGCGAGAGGGGCGGGCGGGGGCCGCTGGCTGCGGGCAGCGCGGAGCAAGCAGCGGCGGCGGAGGCGGAGGAGGGGGAGCAGCCGGAGCCCCGGGAGGCGCTGAGGGGAGGCGGCCAGGCGGGGCGGGCGGCGGCGGCGGCCATCGCGGCCCGGCCCGGCCCAGGCGAACCCCGCTCCGCCGCGGGCGGGCAGGCACGGCCCAGACAGCCGCCCGCCCGCCCTCCTCCCTCCCGCAACGCCGTGAGGCCTGGCCGCGGCTCGGCGAGCGGGGCCCTGGTGGTGGTGGCGGTGGTGGAGGAGAAGGAGGAGGTGTTGGTGGTGCTGGTGGCCGCCCTGCCATCTTAGCTGCCGTGCCCCGCCGCCTTTGTGCCCGCCGCGCCCGGGCACCCGGGGGGGGCCGGGCCCGACGCCCCTCCGGGGGCGCCTCCCCCCGCGGGGCCGCCGCCCCTTGCCCCGCTCCTCCTCCTCCTTCTTCTCCTCCTCCTCCTCCTCCTCCTCCTCCTCCTCCGCGGGGGGCCGACCGGCGCTCCCAGCCCGGCTGCGGCGGAGGGTAAGGCGGGCAGCACCGCGGGGGGCTCGGAGGGGAGGGGGGGGGAGGAGGATGAGGAGGAGGAGGAGGATGAGGAGGAAGAGGAAGGAGATGGCGGAGCGTAGGGGGGGGGGGGGGCTACGAGGAGAGATGGAGGGGAGAGGCGAGGCGGAGAGATGGTTGGTGAGGTGGTGGGGGGGGGGGGGGAGGAAGAAGAAAGGCGGCGGTGGGGCCGGCGCCTCCCCCGCCGGGCTCTGCGGCACTGCCGCAGGACCCGGGGCCGCTTCCCCGGCCTGGGGGGGCTCCTCCTGGGTGGGGGGGGGCTGCTCCGGGGGGTTGGGGGCTGAGGTGGCGGCGGGGAGGGAGCGGTAATGGCGCTGCCGGGGTGTTCCCCGCGCCCTGCCGCTGTCACGGCCGGCTGAGGCCTAAGGGCTGCGGCCCGGCCCCCCCCGGGATTTTTGGGGAGGAGGGGGGAGAAAGAGGGGGGGGGGGGGTAGGTCCCGATGGGCCCCTCTCAGTACTCGGGCCCCCCCCCCCCAGCCCCGTGTTCCCGCAGATCTGACCGCGGATGCTTTATTTTTTATGATTATTATTTGATTATTTTTTTATTATTATTATTATATTTTTTTCCCCAAGCTCTTTTTTTTTTATTTTTTTTATTTTTTTCTCTCTCTTTTCCCTACCCCCTCGCTCCTCCCCGAGCGGTGAGTTCTCGGTGTAAATACCACTCGGCGCGGCGCTGGGGTGGGATCGGGAGGAAAGTGACCTATTTTGAAGGCCTTTTTATCGCTTCCCCCCTCCGAACGGGCATGTGCCGGCCGATTCCGTTAGCCAAATAGCGTTTCCCAACCATTTTAATTTGCCAGATTAAAATATCTCGCCGGGGCTAGGCTCCCGCGAGCCGGCGTGCGGGTATGGCTTTAGACAACCTCGCTCAGTCGCCTCTGCTGCAAGCCTCTCGGGAGCCTCGGAGTTCACCTTTGTCACTGTGGGAGCAAAAAAAAAAATAAATTAAATAAATAGAAAAGAGAGAGATGCCCGGCTGCCTGTAACGTGCAGTTGTACCATTGTGCTGGGTGCGGTAGGAGAACCAAGGGGGGGGGGGGGAGGAAAAAAAAAAAAAAACAAGGATTAAAATGGTTGTTGTCAAACGTAAGATCTTTACGTGTCTCAGGAAGAAAACGGCAGAGAGGACTTTGGGGTTATTTTCTGAGCAAAAGGCTCGGTGGTGGTGGTGCTCGCCCCTCCTGCTTGTCACGGCGTGGGGCAGTTTGGCCGGGTGGCATTCTGGTGGCTGAGGCTGGTTACATGGCACTTGGCTTAACTAGTTGGCCAAATCGTGTCCTTCACCTTTGCCCATCGCGTTTGGAGAGCCCTCACGGCCGTGTGGCCCTGCACGCCGAGGGCAGATTAATAAGATGGTACCTAAAGGTTTGGCTGCTATCGATTCCTTACTATTACTGCTATTTATAGAGCGTGTGACATGGCTCTTGTTTTATGTATTTGGGTAGAGGTTACCGGCTTGGAATGCTTCAAATGAAACGTTCCCAAAATACCACCCCGAATGCTTCATGTATTGTTGAATGGTATAGCTCGGATCCCCAGAGTCTGAAAAATAGCTTTGGCTATTAGCACGTCATAATAGTGCAAATATTGTGGCAAACCCTGATATATTTTGACACTGCTGAAGGCTTGTTTTCACTTCTCAGGATTACAAAACACCAACTTTTGTTGCAATAAATGCAATTTTAGATACGTGATCCTTGAAACAACTCCCGAGTCTACGTTTTTGTTTCTGTTGCCCCTGCTCCCAGTGAGCGTGCTGTGATTTTTGCTGCTTGTGTCCAAGGACAAACCTAATCAACAACTGGTTCAAGCCTTCGTCTTAGGTTCTCCACAACACTGGCCTAGTTCTGGCTGGTGCCTTTGCCATTTTTAGGACTCCTCTTCCTTTTATCTGTTAGACTCAAATACATTGATAAACTTGAACCTCCATTTATCCTTTGAACTTGAGGGAATGTTTTTCTCCTCTGTTAAGAATGTCTCGCTGAAGAGAAAGGGATTCTGGCAGAACAGCTTAAATTAAAT